CAGAGTTTTGAATGTGTGAGGCTTGGTTTTATTAAATTGAGCCCTACTTCTTCACCAAACATTCCTGCACTCAGATATTCAATCAAAATGTGTTGTTATCTGGGCTCCCTGTCGAGCACTCTTTGCTTCTAGCCAGATGGACTTTAAATCAGTTGGGGACATTTTTGAAGGGGAGAGACAGAAGAGGGACTCCTTGATTTTCTCCTATCTACCAGAAGCCACTTTGGCCTTGACACCAGCATGCACAGGCAGTGCAGAACCTTTTCTAGGGCTCCTGAAATAACCAGAAATGGCCATCCAGTCTGGTAACCCCAGAACTCTGAAAGGCTGAGGCAAGAGGATTGCAAGTTCGAGTACTACCTGAGGAACTTTGCAAAACACCTGTTTCAAATTTTTCAAAGGGTGGTGGTGGGGTATAGCTCAGTGCAAAGGCCCTGAATTCAATCCTCAGTACCACCAAAAAGAGGAAAAAGTGGAGGAGGAGGAGGAGAATCAGGAAGGAGAGGAAGGAAGAATGGCTTCACTATGGAGGTTGTTCAGCACTTTGCCAGACCCTGAATGGGAAACAGGCATCCATCCCAGCACTGTGGCAGAGGTCAAACACAACACATATCAGCATTTATTCCATTGATGCCCCTCTCTCCCCTCCTCTTTTCCACTGCCCCCAACCATACAAGCAGCCTGTCTACATGGGCCTGAGGCATGACAGGCAGCAAAGGGACCTCACCATGCAGTGCACAGGGCCTGCTTTCCCATGAACAGTTCTGGCTGCATGGGAATTACACAGCTCAGGGGCAAACAGGATGGATGGTGAAGGCTGACAGGTCGGGAGACCCCAGAGCAATTTTACTTGGTTTTGATTCATGACTTGTCAGTGCACTAACCAAATATTCCATTTTCATTTTTGCCCTCCTCTTTCCCATTGACTGGCATCATAATTGAAAACTCTGGCATGAAAGACCAAGGCCACCTGTCTACAGGGCCCTCAATTCTGTCTGCTCAGAACATCTTGCTCCTGAAAGAGGGGACAGAGGGGAAATCAGCAAACAGATGGCGTAAGGATTAGATGCACAGGGGCCACCCTCTGCGGACGCTCAGTTACTCAGCTTGAGCAATCTAGGCCTTTCCCGCCCTCCACTCTGCCTTTTCAGCTTATTCCTGCTTGTTTGCTACCAAAAAAAAAAAGGATGCAGGGCCAGAAAGGTGGGCTGAGTTTTAACTCCCTTTTCACTCCCTATTCAAAGGCCTGCTGAGAGTCAAGTTGGCAAGAAGAGAGTTTTTAGACGATGGGGTCAATGACACTTGCAAGATTTTTTAAATACCTATTTCTCAAATAAATATTTTTTGATGGCTAGCACCAATAATAACACCCAACATTAAGTGAACAGTTACAACCTGCCAGGTGCTGTTCAAATTAGCTCATTATATTTTGGTGTGAAAACTATACGCCAGATATGGTTGTCATCCTTGTTCCATGTAGGGGAAAACTCCAATGGAGAGATGCTAAAAAACTCGTTCAAGATCAAAAGTCCTGAATTATTAGAGCAGGGCCTTCAATCCAGTTTGCTCTCTTAATTTCTAGGTCATGCTGCTCAGGGCTTAAAGCAGCAAGACCTAAAATAGATTGTTGGATGATAGATTAGAGAGAGAGAGAGAGAGAGAGAGAGAATTTTTAACAATAAGAATAAATAAAAGAGTTCCTACAGTAAAAACTGAGAATGAAATAAGAATTCCAATAGCCCCTGGAAGGCAGATTGGTTCAGCTATCCCAGGTTTGGGTCCATCTTGAAAGAGTGGTGAAGTAACTGAAAAATTTAAAAGGCTGAAGTTGTGAGGTTCTGAGATTAATTTCTGAGGTCCTGTGATATATTTGTAGAGGAAACAGTTGTCAAAGCCTCTGAGCTTCACTGATCATTTTGCTGCGATCTCACATGAGCTATCTGACAGGGGCCAAAGTCAAGGCTGAGCAGGCCTGGGATGGAAAACTGAACAGACTGAGTGTCCACTCTGAGAAGAGAGACCCTTTCACCAACACGTGGATGAGTCCGAATGCTTCCCCATCAGGCTGCTCCGGGTTTGTGTGGGTCAGATGATGACTAGGAAGAATGGACACCCAAGGCAGAGACTCAGACATGGAGTATGCTCCACATGGCCGGCACTACAGGAAGACACAAGATACTATGTCTGGAGCAGTGGAAGTCACTGTAGATGGTACTGTGATTAAGCTTCCCATGTACCCCAGGGCAGGGCCCCAAGTCTACTTCCCTCAGTACTCAACGAATACTGGTCATCATCAGCCAGATCTATGAACTGCAAAAACAGGTCTGGAAGAGTTTCTTTCTCCTGTTCACCAGCCCCCAGCTTCCCTGACTGACTGTGTTTCTGTCACTAACAGGGAATTGCCCTGTGACTTCTTTCCCCTCTTCCCATTAGCCTGTGCAGTCAGCCTGTTTGCTCTCTAGATTCAGGGATACTAATAATTGGTTAGCGCTGAAATCTCAATCTAACAAGTTTTAAACTTGAAACCTCATTAACTTTCTGCCACCTGACACCCAGTATTCTCCCAGCTCTTAGAATCTCATTAGGAATGTTTGAGCCCCACCTGTGCCAAACTGTCCCACTGTCCCTGTTGCCCAGGCACTGTGAGTAGACACTGGAGCTGCATCCTGTTGCCTCTGAGACACACAAGTAGATTTTTTCCTGTCCTTGTCATACTGGCCACACCCCACGTTGTACTAGTTGGTACTAGTTATCTTAGTTCCCTATGGCTGTTGTAAAAAAAATCCCCACAAACACAGTGGCTATGAACATTACAAATATATTATTTTATAGCAGTGGTTAGTGTCTAAAGTAGATCTCATCAGACTAAAACCATAGTCTGTCTTTTCTAACTTCCCAGAAGCTGGTCTCATTCCTTGGCCAGTATTCCTACATCTAGCAATATGACTCCTGATTCTATTGTCACTTCTCCTTTCACTCTGACCTTTCTGCTTCCTTCTGCAATGACCCTTATGATTGCACTCAACCCACACAGATAATCCAGGATAATCACCCCATTTTAGGATCCTTAATTTAATCACAGCCACAAGATTCCTGTTGCTGTGTAAGAAAGCACATACATAGATTCTTTAGACGAGCACACAGACACCTTTGGGACACTTGCCTACAGCAAGATTGACAATGAAGACATGCCTGGTAGGGGAGTTGGAGCACAGACCTTGAGGTCCAGGCACACAGTCACCCACCTGAGAGGTGGAAGAAAGATCTCTTTGCCCACAGTAGGGCCTCCACTGCTCCTGGACTGAGAGCCAGGAAAAGGAGACACAGCAGGGTTACCTGGTGTGTTGGGAGTAGTGTGTGTGTGTGTGCATATGCGTGTGTGCATGAGTGTGCATATGCACATTTTTATCCATAGGAGGGGGTGCTGAAAATATCAATCCCTGAGTGAACAAGCACTTAGTGGCATTCTGTCTTAAAATGACACCATAAAAACATGAATTTAAAATTCCCAAGACTCCTCATTGCCAGATTCATTTCTTTATGAAAGCCCAAGGATCTGGGAATTCTGCCTTCCTCATTTCAGAAACAGAAGTCTGAGGAAAACAAATTGCCTTCTGTTGTCTCAGGCTTGACTGCTGTTTAACTGTATCCAAGAGGCTGGGCAGCGGGCAGCTGTCAGTCCCCAGCAGCCTGACATGAGGCCTGAATCACTCAGAGCCTTTGAAACAAGCTCTCTTGCTCACTGAGGGGAAACATCTCTGCTTAACTCCTCCTGAGGTGCCCAGTGGAAGCCCCTGCTGTGGCTCCCTGGGCCCGGCTACTTCCAGCCTTCATGAATCACCTGCCAGAGCAATAGAGATGCTCAGTGGAGACTCTTAGAGGCCTGGAGAGCCACAGAGCAGGAATGAATGCCCATTGAACAGGAGGGGATCAGGGAGCCTCCCAGAGGGAAAGGAGCTGCCCTATCAGCTCAGGAGGGGCCCTGGGAAGAGGCACAGGGCCATCGCATGGCACAACTCCAGGAGGGACAAGAGTGGCCTCTCTGCGAAACCCTCATGGCACGATCTTTCTCCCTGAGCGACCCAGACAGGGTCCTGAGCAGGCAGATCCACAGGCCACTTGGACTTCCTTGGGTGCTTGCAGTGAGATTGATGACCCCTGCCCAGAAGGGTGTGAATAACAGTGGTTCTGCAGAGAAAACTTATGAAAAACCCAGCTGAGGGCTCAGCCCCATTTGGGAGTTTGCAGAATGGAGGGAACAACTCACATTTTGCTTCAAATGAAGTTAAATTCCTCATATTTCATTTCTGAGGAGTTTTGCTTGTTTTCTTGCCATGGCTGGTATACATTTATTTCTTCAATTTATATCCTGTGCTGCTATAAATTTTCATAAATATTTTTCCCTTGTCTTACTTCCCTTCCTTTCCCTCCCTCATATCCCATGATTTCCTCTCAACTCCTGAAAATATCTCCTCTCCGGAGAGACTTCCTTTTGCTATTCCAAACCATCCCCTAAATACATGTTTTAATAAGCTCCCAACGCTGATCTCCTTACAAATCATTCTTTGCCATTTTGCAATTGAACCAGTGTCTTGGTTAAAATGAAAATTCCCCAGGGCACACAATAAATAATAAAAAAGAATAACATAATCGAAAGGGTTATGATTCTGAGCAGAAGGAAATAATGTGAAGCAGTTGGACTATATTTTGTGCATCTTATGTTCAAAATGCAAAAACAAGAGGAGGAGGTGGGAAAGAGTGTGGCTCCACAAGCCCAGGGCTGTAAGCTCCGTACAGCAGCGCACGTCCAGGGGACTGATCTTGGCGGAATAAATATATTTTCTCACAAAGATCTACCTTTTGTAAGATGTCAGGAGTCCTTCTAGGAGAAAGAAAGAGTTTGACATAAAAGAAGATTTACGAAATCTTAACAAATACTTAGTGCCAACCCTGCCCCCTAAACCCAGGCTGCCATCAGGAAAGACTCCTGGAAGACTTACCTGCAGGAAAGGACTTGGGGGCAGCAGGCTTTGGTGGTGATACAGTTATGACCTAGAATTAGAGACACTGAATTTCAGCCATGGCTTTGAATAAGTCATTAACCCCTTGAGGACTCAGTTTCCTCATGTATAAAATGGAGATAATTAAAGAATCTCCCGTTACTAAGGATGAAATGAGGTCATCCTCAGGAACACCTGAGCAAAATTCACAGCATACAGTAGGCACTCATGAAATAACTCTGTGAAGTATTACTAGGTCCCACAAACTGAAAGAATGAAACCCTCTGTAGCCTGAGGAAAAGACTCAGAGACCCCAGGCAAGGGTTTAGTAAGGGACATGGGATGATACCTAGGACACTAGTTGCTGTGGTCAGAGCATAGCCACAGAAACCCCAACAGGAAGCCTAACTCATGCCCTCACTCTGTCAGCTCTAAGCCTTCTCTGCAGCACCAGACACCCTCAAAGTGAGTCTGTGCGCCCCACTCATACAGAGTGGTAGGGCTCCTCTAATGCTGAGGCTGTGACCCGGTGCAGACCTTGCATGATCAGAAGGATGCTTTCCCCAGTATTGCTATTCCTGGCATTTACTGTGTATCTATTTTACAGATAAATAACAGTCTCAGAGGAAAAGTGATTGGCCCAAGACTCTTCAAGGAAGCCAAGGCAGCAAGATAAGGAAGACTTCTGACTGGGTGTGAACACACGTGTTGCAATAGAAGGGAGCAGGCACTTCCAGAATGACCCTAAGTGTGCTATCACACAAGGGGTAGGAGGGCTTGGAGGGTGCAAAACAGCCAAGGACAGTTAAGTGTGCTCCTCCAGGAATGGGTTTTTCCCCCATCCTCTGAGGTTCAGCACAGACTACATGGCCATTGGGAGGCAAGGTCCCGGCTGCCCACAGGCCAGATGTGGGCCTAAGACAAGGCTCTTCTGCTTCTGGTCCAAATTTACTCTGAACTGGGTTGAATAGAATCAAAGTCTTGAACTCACAGTTCCAGACAGCAGGATGGTACCTGCCTAGTCTTCTTATTTCCTTTCTTCCTCCCTCTTTTCTTGCTTCCACTGCCCTTGGATACCTTTAGTGGACCAGTGTGCCTTTCAGTTCATCACAGGTTCTGACTCAGGTCCTGTGTTACTCCCATCTCTGTCAATCACTCCCACTGCCCACTTGACCCCAAATACATTTGTTATTTCTTTTTTTCCCCCCTTGTCTCTGCCCTCCCTTTACCCCCCTCCCCTCCCCATTTACAAACACTTTATTTCCATCTTTTCATTTTCTCATATTTTTTTTCTTTTCCCTTATTACCTTTCCCACTTTCCCTACACCTTTCTTCCCATTGCACAATGTCAGTTATCTTATTAGGATCTTATATACTATTACAATTTATTCACACCAGAGAAACTATTTGGTATTTACACATGTGAGACTTATTTATTTCACTTAGGAGTATATCCTCAATATGTATCCATTTTCCTATGAATGAATCTACTTTCTCACTCTTTATGGCTGAGTAATATTCCATTTTATAGAAAACCAGAATTTGCAACCCAGGTCAAGATATTCTCTAGGGCGGCCCCACTCGAAATGTGGCTTTTGAAACAGAAGCACCACATCCATGGGAAACTTGGTAAAAATGCAGAATCCTTGGCCTTCCTTACCCAGCATGTGTAAAAGCAGCTTCTGCTTTTAAATAGATTCACATACAGATTAAAATTTGAGAAATGTTCTAGCCCTGGGGGATCCCCTCTGAGGTCCTTTCCAACCTGATCTTGTCTTTTGTCTGCTTCTCAGAGCACAACATACACCCTCCCCCAAAAGAGATCGGTGGTGAGTTTCCCTGAAGTGTAAGAATGCTTTTGTGGGCTGGGGATTTAGCTCAGTGGTTCTGGTGCCTGCCTTAAACATGCAAGGACCCGAGTTCAAGTCCCAGTACCAAAAAGAAAAAGGAAAAAAAAAAAAAGGATGCTTTTGGGAATATTCTCTTACATTCACCTTTGCTTTGTCTTCAGAGAGATCACTTAACAGAATGGGTGCCTCAAAGACAGACGGTTCCAACTCTACAGCAATCACAGGCTCTGTAGAGTCCTGGAACACTGGTGTAGCTGGAAAGAAGTGCAGACATGGCAAATTTTAATCCTGCTGAAACATAATCAGCTTTTGCTTCTGAAGCAATTAGCATAATATTCCTGATAATGTTTTACATGGCAATTTTGCTGTAAACATTTGTGCTAATTTGCCATGACCTAATTATTTTATGACATATAATTACGAAGTATTTTTCAAGTCGAAATATTTTTGTTTTACGTTTCTGTAATCTTTTTCTAGAAAAAAAAAATTTTTTTACATCAGCACTCCCACAACTTGAAACATACAATCCTCTCCGGGCCGATGTTTGTGACACTTTACTTTGCTAAAGAGGAGGAATTCCCCAGCGCTGGCATGCCAATGATCATGCGTTTACTCATGACTAATTTGAACTGGGCATCACTGAATCTACCTACTCTGCTGTCATACTATGAGATTGTCAAATGCACACTCCCAGCCTCCTACCAACACCCACTGATTCCCAAACACAGAAACACTTTGAGTTGATGGGGGAATGTAGCAAATACTTGCAAAAAGAGAAAGACTGGTTTTCATTTTTAATGCATGTAAAAGATTCACCTAAGAGGAGAGCATATACACTGTATTATCCTCCCTTAAGGTCTTCCTACCATACTCTTAAACTGCCTCTTCAAATCCACAAGATGCTGAAGAGTATAAAACTATCTGTCTCTTCCTCTGCCACTCTCTCCCTGGTTAAGAGCCTGCAAGCTTTGTGTTTGCATCCTTCTAGGTTCAGGATGGAGAGGAGGAATGAGTGCTGCAGTAGTCACTAGGAAGATAGTACCAGACATAATCCAGCGAGGAGGGCTGCTGTTGTGATCCTCAGCAGAGCAGGTCTGATTAGCAGTAGGTAATGAGGTCCCAGACTTTCTGCAGACAGTGATAACCATCCAACTCCAGATTCCTGGAACAGATTCAGGGAGACGGCCAATCTATGGAAGATTGGGCTTGTCAACTAAGGCTGCCTATTGAGGTGGGGCCCCAGATTGGGTTCTGAGGCTAGATGAGAAAAAACTGTGATTCTCACAACCTAAACCTACACCTAGAAGGGGCAAGCTCTCAGAGAACTATACTACAAAAGGGAGAGCTAGCAGCCAAAGAGCAAAGAGGACAAGGACAATAGTGCCATGAAAGCAGAAAGCAGCAGGAGAAAGATATAAGAATGCCCACAGAAGGCACATCCAAGAGAGGCATACCTGCCGCAGAGCTTCTCTAGGACAAACATCATAAACATGGGCTCATCTCTTGCCTGAGTGTTATGGCTTATATCTAGATGTTTCCCCAAAACCTTGTGTGCTCACAGGTGGGGCTTTTGGTAGGGGGCTGGATCATGGGTGTGTGATGTTGAATCATGGGTGTGTGATAACTGGGTTACTCCACCGATTGGCTTAGCATAGCTCTGGGTGTGGAAAATGGGAAGGACAACATCCTCAGTGTGGGTGGCACCAATCAATAGACTTATAGCTTGAATGAACTAAAAACAGAAATGAAGGTTTTTCTATGTTCCGCTTCCTGTCTCCTACTTGCCACACCATAGACTGTCTCTCCTTTGCCATGATGCTACCTTGGAGCCATTGTAGACTGAAACTTCTACAAACTGTGTGCTAAAATAAACCTTTCTTCCTTTAACTTGTGGGTCTCGGGTATTTTGTTGCAGCAATGAGAAAGTAACAAAGGCCTAGACCTTTAAGCTGAACTGCCTGGGCTTACACTTCCTCAATGTGCAAGTTCTTAACATTTCTATGCCTCGGTTGCCTCTTCTATGAAATGGGATAATGATAATGTTACTAACTCTCCAGAGTTATGAGAATTAAATTAATATCCATAAAACCCTTAAAACAGGCATTATGCAAGTTTCTGTTAGTAAAATTTCCTATGCAGGGGATGTAATTGGGTGAGGTAGCACTTGCCCAGCATGTGTGGGGTATTGTGTTTCATCCCTATCAAACACACACACACACACACACACACATGCACACACACACACACACATGATCTTATTCCTTCAGATTCCCACAAGACTCAAAAGATGTGAGTCATAATGTATGTCAGATTCTGTAGTGATTATTGAGCTGATGATCATTAAGCATTTGTTTCAATAAATGGCTTTCGATTGAATGCACGAGATGTTTTCAGAGCACATGCTCTGTCTCAGGCCCTTGTCAGTCCCTGGGGAATACAAGAATGAATAAACAAATTTTACAGTTTACAAGTAGTAGGTATGCATACCAGGAGTTCCACACAAGAAGGCAAAGCTAGCATGCACAAATCACAAAAGAGGACACAAGGCTAGTACAAAAACTACAACAATGCCTGTGTTTCTAGTTCACGTTTGTAACCATCGATTTTAGTGCACTTGAAATATATTTTCAGCTTTATTGAGAAACTTTATCTATAAAATTCACAAAATTAAGTATATAATATAATCAATTTCAACAAAAGTATAAGTCACTGGAGCACAATCACAGTATAAAACTTCTGCATCACCCAATCCATCTTTCATATTACTTAGTCCTGCCCCTAACCCCAGCTCCTGGAAACCTCTGAGTTGCTCTCACTGCAGTTTTGCTTCTACAGTTTCATATAGATTGAATAGCACATTATGTACTTTTTTGTACCTAGTTCCTTGGATTCAGTAATGTTTTAGAATTCATTCATGTCATTGTGTGTGTGTTAAAAGTTTATTCCTGGACTAGAGATTTAGCTCAGTGGTTCTGCCACCTGCCTCGCAAGCAAAAGGACGCAAGTTTGATCCCTGGTACAAAAAAAAAAAGAAAGAAAGAAATTTTTTTTCCCTCTTTTCCCTGAGTAGCAGTCCATTGTACAGAGACATCATGGTTTTTCAGTGACCAGGTGATGTACATTGAGTTACCTCCAATTTGGGCTACTATGAAGAAAAATATTATAAACATACACAAAAAAGTCTTTACAAGGATATGTTTTTAATTTGTTTGAAATAAGTACCCACAAGTAGGATTTCTGAAAAAAAAAAAAAGTCGGCAAAAGATTTGGATGGATTTCACCCAAGAAGCACATGTAAAACATGCTCAACATTAGTTCCTACAAATTAAAACCACAATGAAATAATGTGCATTACGAGAGAATGTCTAAAATCAGAATGATTACAATTTCATTTTTGTCTTTCTGTTTTCCTCTTGTCTTTCCTTTATTTTGCACTTTGTTGAGAATAAAGTTGTCATCCAGCATGGACAGTGTATCTAAAAGTGTACCTTGAAATCCATCCAAATCTTTTGCCAACTTTTTTTTTTTTTGGTACCAGAAATTGAACTCGGGTCCTTGCGCTTGCAAGGCAGGCCACCGAACCGCTGAGCTAAATCCCCAGCCCTCTTTTGCCCATTTTTAAACCAGGCTGTCTTCCTACTGTTGAGTGGTGATAAGTGTTCTTTATATATTTTGGACATAAGCACTTTATCCAAAAATCTCAACTTCATGATAATTTTTTTCCCAGTCTGTGGCCTGCCTATTTGGTTGTTTTTTAACACCTTGTTTCAAAGAAAACAAAATTTATGTTGATGAAGTCAAATTTAATTTTATTATCCAAATTTATTGCGCCACAAAGTAATCCTAGGTTAAAAATATAGTAGTTTATTCTATTTTTTGGCAAGTTGCATATTTTTTTCTCTTACATCTAGGTCTCTGGTGCATCTTGAATTACTATTTATGTAATATTGCATGAATTGAGGATCAATTCATTTCATGCCTATGGATATCCAATTCATTTGAAGATCTTTAATTAAAATCTATCTTTTCACCATAGAATTATCTTGGCACCCTTATTTAAAACTAATTCACAATGTGCATGTGGAATTCTTTGACTCTCTTTTGTTGCATTGATTTATGTGTCTATCCTTATCTTAATACTATATGTTCTTGATTACTGTAGCTTTATTTAAAGTTTTGAAATCAAGGACTCTAAGTCTTTGATTGTGTTCTCTTTCCAAATATTTTAGTTATTCTAGGTTTTCCACCTTTCCACATAAATTTTAGAACTAGTTTATCCATTTCAGCAAGAAGGCCTGCTGTCATTTTGACTGGGATTTTCTTGAATCTATAGGTCAGTTTGGAGATAATTAACATTTTAGCAATGTTTTTCCCCCCTTTGGTTCATTTCTATGATTATGCTTATAATTACCACAATTTTAATGGCTTCATAACAGAGATGGTATATAACCTTCTTAATAACTCCCTATTGTTTGGCCTTTGTATTGTTTCCAGGTTTTTCCTCTTAGAATTATTCTTTACTATGTTGTATTAAGTGAAAGAAGCAGAGTACAAAACTTTATGTAGATTATAATTATATATGCATACCTATATAAGCATGAGGGAAAACAAAAGGAAACAAAAAACTGAAAGTAATGTATTCTGGAGATAGTGTTATAGCTAATCTGTTTTCCCTCTCTACTTTCTAAATGTATCATGATGTGAATACATAAGACACATTTCAATAAATGAGTAACTTCCAGATACCTGAGGTAGTAGAGGTCAGAGGCTGCTTGGCAAAAATGTATCACTCGAATAAGGTCTGGAAGTAGGTAGAAGTTTCCAGGTATATGGCAGAAAAAGTTGGAGAAGGAGATGCCAGATCCAAGGAGCAGCATGAAAAGGGCATAGTGGTATGAAAGAGGGTAGTGGTTCCAGGGTACCCATAATGCTGTGTAACCAGAGCAGTGCAGAATGAAGTGAGGAAGGCTGGGTCAGATCACGAAGAGTTCAGGTTAGGTAGTTCCTTACATGTGACTATAAGGACTTTGATGTTACCCTATTAAGAACTGATGAACCACCAAAGTGCTCTAAACTAGACAGGGAGCCTCCCTGACTTACATCTTACAGTCATTATTCAGAGAGCAGTGAGAAGGGGAGACTAGAAAGCTCTGAGGCATGGTGACCAGTTGAAATTCTTGCAGAAATGGAGGTGCAAAATGAGAGGTGCCTGGATTCATACAGTGATCCTGGATAATCTGAAAATAGACTGAAT